TTAAATCCATCATCTTCCCACCATAATTTTATGTTAATTTTGGATCATTTTTTTTTTCAAAAAAATATGTTAAAACAGATGTGGGTTTTATTTTGTGAACAGTGAAAATTTTTTACTTGCCATTGCAAGGGGTTAAATGTTATTGGTTATTTATTTTTGGTACCAATTACTGTATTAAATTTTAAGTTTGAGAAACAGCAATTTTTGGAACCTTCAGGTTACATGTACAATGTAGCGCTGAATAGGTCTCTTATGACATCATACTTGTCAACAGCGCCCTCAGTGTTGGGTGTCAAACATTGCATCATTCTTTATAACCATATGGAGTACAACCATATGTAAATATGCCCTCTCAAAGCAAATAATGAATAGCACTACAAATGATACTCAGACCACCTACTTTGAATAAGATATTTAATTTTTTTTTTTAATTACTTACTACTTTAATTTTTTTTACATACATGTCAATAGACATACTTTCCAGTTTTATTGAGACCAACTATACACTTTTTTTCTCTTACTTGAAAACAAATAAATTATTCCTTAGACATTGTTTGCATGTTTTATAACCAAAGCATTCGTATTTAAGCGTTCTAAGACAAAAAGCTAGGATAGCTTCTCAAGCGTACAATGTCCTGTTCTGAAATCCAGCAGTACTGTAAAATCTGTGTTAAAAGCTACGGTTTCTATTAAAATGGTACAATGCAACAGAGGGGATCTGCCTTCTATTAAAGCATCTACACATATGAGACCTGGTGAATTTTTGGGTCTCAATTGTTTAAAAAGAATGGGTGTGGCTTCGATTAGGGATGTGGCTTCTAATACAGATTTTACAGTACTATTCATGTGGAGCAGAAATTATAAAAGCCAGAATCTGATAGGATACAAGGCCTTCCCTGATTGGTTAGATGATTAGACATTACTGTCCAGGTAGCCACTCAGAGATAGTCTTATAGACTGTGAAATGACTAATTTTCACTGGGTTTAAATTTCACTGATTTACCATTTCAGGCATATTCAGTGGGTTTTAAATTCACGGTTTCGTCATTTAGATAATGTGTTCTATGCTAAATTTTACATATTCACTGTGTTTTAATTTAGCGCATTTTTCAGTCAGCGAAATAAGCAAAATTAAAACCCAGTGAATAATTAACCCCTTTACAGTAAACTCATTCCTAAATGCAAATATTTTGTATCATTACTTACTAATTTGATTTCTGGTACTGTCCTACTTAAAGTCCATTCTTGGCTATTTACAAAGGCATCTGAAAATAATTAAAAAAAAAGAAATATTACATTTTAACTGAATATCGAATATACCAACAATAGTAAATAAATCTGAGATAGATACAAATAACGCTAATGTTGTATATTTAGCACAAAAATTCATGTTCCAGACATAAGTTCTTTGACAAGCAGTAGGCGAAACCGAGAAACGGGAAATTTTTTTTCTTGGCCTTATCTGTTTCTAGATAAAATCACAGTCTAAAGTTCAAAATGTGAAATGTTTCATCACAATGTTGCAACACATGATGCAACTTCTTACACATATATAAACAAATAAAATATCAATGTCGTTGAGGTCAAAACTCCGAACTAGACAATCGTGCATTCGCAACAGCAGAACTATCTTAGATTAACACCTGATGTGACGACCTTGTAATCTTTCTATAAACATTCATTATATTCATACAATGCTGAAATACCACATCAATTGCGATTTATTTATATTCAATACATTTGTAACATATTTATGCTAGCAAGAAAGAAACGCAATACCAAAATTTCCATGATCCAATGTTTTACTCAACAGGGGCCAATACTTGTAGATGATTGCGTGTTTAAACTGCTGGGTATTTCCCGTCCCAAGCAGTCATGTGGATTTTCAGTTTCATTAAAAGGAATTGAATAAAAAATTATGAACACTATAATTTAATTCTCAATGGTGAAAATAATAATTTTTTCAAGAACACATTTAATAGTACACAAATGGGAATTATTTTTTTTGTGCGCGAGTTAATATATTAATTTTTCTTTGATGCAATAACTATTGATTAATTTTTTATTTTTTCAGATGAAAATAGACAGACATCATTGCCAGCATCACCATTGGTATTATTCAAGCTGATTCTGATGTTTTCTAATTCTTCAGTGTACCTATGTTGACTGAGAAAATGTTACCATGCATATATGTTTGCATGGTTTTAAAGCACTTTTTT